AGAATCCCTACTGGGTCTTTAAAAAGTCATTAACGTAGGTTTTAAAAAGAATTTTTCTATAATTCTTGATGGGTCTTTAGACGGACATAAGCATGTCTATTTAAAGAGAATTGCTGATGAATCCTTGGTGGATCCTTACAAGACTGTAAATGTGGAAATTAGAAGGAATTTTTGAAGAATCCTCAATGGGTTCTCACAAAGTCATTAAAGTAGATTTTAAAATAAATTTTTCCTGAATGAACCCTTGCAAGGCCTTAAACGTGAATTTTTAGAGGATTTTTTTTTTTGCTATATTCTTGATTTTCAAAAATATTTTAAAATATATTTTTGGAACAATAATCTTTCAAATATTGTTTTCATGGACTTTTTTACAATAAACGTAGATTTTCACTATTTGTCGTTCTCTACCATCTTTACACCAGATCTTGTGTTGATAGAACTATTAAGATTTCTGAATTGAATCGGATGTTAATTTCGAGTTTTATGAGCTTCATGGATACTCAACATTTTTACCCTTTCTGGAGAATGGAGTGGACCGATATATCCAATTTTCATTGCTGATCTTGTGCTAGTAGAAATAGAGGAATATGTGAAATATGAAGAGAACCGGATGTTTATTTCGGATTTTATAATCGTTTTGGTTATTCAAAACTATGACCCTTTGTGGGAGAGGTGCCAGAAGGAACGGTCCGATCTGTACCATCTCGTGCTGATAGAAATATTGAGATGTATCAAGACCTAATGGAATCGAATGTAAGTGTTTTCGTTTTATGAACTTCATGAATATTCAAAATTGTGGGGGAGTTACCAGAATGAGTGAACTGATATATCCCATCTTCACCTCAGATCTTTTGTTGATAGAAATATTGTGATGTTCCGAGTTTGAAAGGAGGTTCATGGTTTCATGTTTTTTTTTTTTTTTTTTTTTTTTTAATTTGGACCCGTTGTGGGGAAGGTACGACAACCAGTGCTCCGTTCTATCCGTACTTCATATAAGATCTTTTGTGGGTAGAAATATTGAGATGTATGAAATTTGAAGACATTCGAACGTTCATTTCACATTTTGTAAGAGTTATAGTTATACAAAATTTTATAACTTAGTGTGGTAGGTACATTATGGAAAAGGCAGATTTTATTTATTTTTGCATCTGAACTAATACTGCTACTGATTGAGGATTTGTAATTTTTGAATAATATTGGATGATTTGAACAATATCCTTTATACGGTATGTTATTTTCTGAGAATTTTCTGACATTTTGTGGGGAATGTACCAGAAGGAGAGGGCCGATGCTGTCCATCTCAGAACTCGATCTAAGGCATATGGCTGAGGGTATAAAAATCTGCAATTGTTACTCAAATAGTTTTCGAAAAAAGTTATTTTAAAATTCAAAATTGCCCGAAAAATACTGGAAAAAATTAAATCCATTTTTCGTCTGACTGTCCTTGGACTCTCTAAAATTATGGCTCAAATATTTCTTGATAAATTTTGTTTCAAAATCGATGGCCGATTCACGATGCTTGCAGCTCCGATAGACCTTGGAATAAGTATTCTCAATTCTAGTTGCAATAATCCATTGCAGAAAACCACCATATAATCTCTGAGCGTCCTTTGAATGAATCTCCAACTTGTTGCCAAGTGTTAGCGAGCAATACTAAAATGCAACTTTGCACATTGTATAAAATAAATATTTGGGCCACAATACAATTCAGTTCAGCTCACAGCGTACCATACCATCTCACACAGACACACACTCTCACAATTGCCAATGTATAGCCGGAAACGGAAACAAATGATATATGAGTATATTCATAGATAATAGACTGGGTTTGGGCAAGAATAAATGCAACCATTGTGGTCATATTGCCCTGTGGTTAGCCACAACATTGACAACAACAATGCCAACAAGTATAACACTAAAGTGCCAAATATGCCGGCATACATTTGGAAATACTGATTTTTTGTGCTTATAAAGAATGGAGAGTTTAAAAATGTGTGAGAGAGAGGAAGAGACAAATTGTGAGATATTGAAGATAGGTGTACTAAGTAGAAGATACGCAGCCTGGCACGTGTACATTTCCCAAGCATACATTGTGTATGGAACGTCGTTATTTAAAGGGATTTTTGCAGAATCCCTACTAAACCGTTAAAGTGGATTTTAAGAGAAATTTCGCAGATTCTTTACATGACCCTAAATACGATTTAATATTTATACCCTACACCACAAGGTGGTCAGGATATTATGTCTTTGTGCATTTGTTTGCAACAGGCAAAAGGAAACGAGATAGACCCATAGTTCCTTTTGATGATCTGCATAGAATCACATTCTGAATCGATTTATGCATGTCCGTCCGTCCGTCCATGTATTTTTGTAAACAAAGTACAGTTCGCAATTATTGCCCTATCCAGATGAAAATTTGCACAAATCATTTGTTTGGCCCAAGGACGAACCCTATTGAAATTGGAGATAATCGGTTAAAATTTAGATGTAGCTCCCATATATATCTTCGTCCGATTTGCCTTTTATTGTGCACCAAACGTGTAATATCAGTCCGAATAGTATGGAATTTTGCACATACAACCAAATTAGGCCTGAAAATAAGTATGCCAAATTTTATCAAAATCGGTTCAGATATAGCTATAGCTCACATATATATTGTTCATCCGATTTGTTATTTTTGTCCTTCGCAGTCGTAATATGCACGCTGCTACAACGATATTTGGGGATATATATTAACTACAGCCCAGAAATACATGTGCCAAATTTTATCGAGATCGGTTCAGATTTGGATATAGCTCCCCATTTACCTTATATTGTGCACCAAACGTCAAATATTTGTCCAAATGGGATGGGAATTGGCACCTATGACCGAATTTAGTCTAGAAGCTAGTATGTCAAAATTGGTGAAGATCGCTTCAGATATAGCTGTAGCTCCCATATATACTGTTCATCCGATTTGTTATATTTGTTATTCACAGCCGTAATATGCACTTCGTAACAACGATAATCAGGGAAATATATCAAATACAGCTCAGAAATATGTTTGCGAAATTTTATGGAGATCGGTTCCGATTTGGATATAGCTCCCATATATATCTTTATCTGATTTCAAATTAATATTGCACTAAATGGGTAATACAAGTCCGAATTTAAAAGATACAACTGCTTCGGCATATTTAGTCCTTTCAACTTTAAATTATAATTATAATCATAGCTTGTATGATTGAATTCTCCCATAAAAACTTTTAATTTTTATGCGGAGCTCTACTAAATTAGCAAAGTGGTGTAGGGTATCAAAAAGTCGGCCCCGCCCAACTTTAAGACTTTCTTTACTGTTTATTTTTTTTAATTTTTTTGTATGGACCCTAATGTGCATTAACAAGGCATTGTGGATTTTACACGGATTTTTAAAAAATCCTTGACGAGTCCTTACAAAGTAATTAACACAGATTTTAAAGGAATATATGCATAACCCTTGATGGGCCATGTTAACGGCATAAATGTGGATTTTTAAAAGAATATTTGAGGAATCTTTGATGGGTCCTAACCATGCCATAAACGTGGAATTTTAAAAGAATTTTTGCAGAATTCTTGAAGGGTTCTTACAGGACTATAAACGTGGAATTTTAAAAGAATTTTTGCAGAATCCTTGATGGGTCCTTTCCAGGCCATAAACGTGGAATTTTAAAAGAATTTTTGCAGAATTCTTGAAGGGTTCTTACAGGATTATAAACGTGGAATTTTAAAAGAATTTTTGCAGAATTCTTGAAGGGTTCTTGTAGGACTATAAACGTGGAATTTTAAAAGAATTTTTGCAGAATCCTTGATGGGTCCTTTCCAGGCCATAAACGTGGAATTTTAAAAGAATTTTTGCAGAATCCTTGATGGGTCCTTTCCAGGCCATAAACGTGGAATTTTAAAAGAATTTTTGCAGAATTCTTGAAGGGTTCTTACAGGATTATAAACGTGGAATTTTAAAAGAATTTTTGCAAAATCCTTGATGGGACCTTTTCAGACCATAAACGTGGAATTTTAAAAGATTTTTTTCAGAATCTTTGATGGGTCATTTCCAGGCCATAAACGTGGAATTTTGAAAGATTTTTTACAGAATCCTTGATGGGTTCTTTCCAGGTCATAAACGTGGAATTTTAAAAGAATTTTTGCAGAATCCTTGATGGGTCCTTTCCAGGCCATAAACATGGAATTTTAAAAGAATTTTTGCAGAATCCTTGATGTGTTCCTTTCCAGGCCATAAACGTGGAATTTTAAAAGATTTTTTGCAGAATCTTTAAAGGGTTCTTACAAGAACATAAACGTAGATTTTAAAGGAATTTTTGCAGAGTGGATTTTTAGGGATTGATGGAATCAATGTGTATTCTTAACCACATTTGCGTCATTGTGCATTTTTTAAAGAATTCTTGCAGGATCCTGGATTTGTTATTACATGGTTTTAAAGAAAGTATTGCAGAATCTTCGTTGAATTCTAACAAGGCCATAAACCAAGATTTTAAAGGAAGATTCTTTGTTTTTTATACGTTTTTGATAGAAATTGTGTTTGTATCCTAAAGGGACATTAAGAGTGAATTGTTTGCGCAACATTTCACGAATATTCGCAAGACTAAAAAATTGGATTGTTGGGATATTTAGTGATGCCTTAGAAGGCTAAAGCGTAATAATATGTGGATAGTTTTGTAGGACCTTGTGGATTTTTTTCAAGTACTGTCTCTTACAATATTCCGCCAAGAAACCCCACTTTCAGTCCAAATTTAAGAATCTACCGGTGTTTTCCTCCTGAATCCTGAGATACAAAACACAAAGATTTCTAATTGCATTTTAAATTTTAAAGTTTAAAATGAATTTCCTGTCGAAGAATATTTCCTTAAAAATGAATGCCCCAAGCCCATGGACGATGTGAAGTAGGTAAAAGACAGGCTGAGATATGTCTTCTATTGACTGTAAAAAAAAAAAAAAAAAAACTAATAATATCTCCTTCAACTCACAGTTATCGGTCACCGAATCATCTTCTTCTTCGCCTCCCATCGTCGTTTTCATTATATTAATGCTTGCCATCGATGTGGGTGTTGTGGTGGCTGGAGTCTTGAGATTTGTTTGTGGCGATACACTTGTAGGTCCATTGTAGATACCATTGACAGGATGGGCCATGTTTTTGGCAATTTGTAGGCTGACAATAGAGTGTTTGATGTGATCCAACATGGCCTAAAAAGAAGGAAACGAAAAAATCAGCAATTGAATAGTAATATTAAAAGTTAAAAAATGAAAAGTATTCTCTTTTGTGTGTTTGTGTGTGGTGAAAGGAACTCATTAAATCACATGACCCTTGGCGAGGCCACTGAAATGTAAACACCCAGCTAAAGCTCTCCTCCTGTTGCTGTTATTTACTTTAGTTATTTTCTAGACCGTCCTTTTTCGACATTCTATTCATACGAAAAAAGCTACTCGGAATTCCTTTTTTCACCTTTGTTCGCATGAATTTTTGTTTTCCCTTTATTTCGCTACCTTTCCTTCGACGTTATTAGCATCATAGGTCCTGTGTGTGCGTCGTCTATGGTTATGAACGATAAGAGGGGGTGTCAAACATGTGATTGTCCTTGTTGTTGTCTCACCATTACAGCCGTCGTCGTCGTTCTTCTGTTTGTTGTTATTTTTGTATAGTTAGGCAGGCAGGCAGGCAGTTAGCCAGTCACACAATGTGTGTCAATTAACAGGTGTCAGCTGTTTATGGGTGAATTTAATCTTTCAATACACACCTTTTTACAATACACCACCCACCCATGACAGCCTTTCAACCTCGTCTCGCCATCACAATGGTCATGACCAATGCCAATTCATGATGAATTACCTTTTGACATTGGTTACGTATGCTTGGGAAAAGTCATTCTAAAGATATGGATTTTTATTTTTGGGTGTATGTCAAGAATTGACTTGGAAGTGGGGTAAAGGAAATGCAAAGTTTCGAGAACTTCTCGATCAAAAAGAATCCAAGACTAGAAAGAAGCTATCAGTAGGTTTTGCAGAAGATATCAGTTAGTTTTTACAGAAGATATCGGGAAGCCTTGATGAGTCCCTTTAAAGAACATTTTTATGGATTCTTGAAGCGTCATTAAAATGCCATAAACGTAGATTTTTAAAGAAGTTTTTGAAGAGCCCTTGATAGGTCCTTATAAGGTCATAACCATTGATTTTTTAAAGGAATCTTCGGAAAACCCTTGATGTAATATTACAAAGATAAGAACGTGGAATTTCAAATAGATTTTTGCAGAACACTTAAAAAGTCCTCCTAGGGTCATAAATATGAGTAAAAAATAGAAGAATCCTTGATGTGTCCTTACACGTCTATGAACGTGGTTTTTAAAAGGAATATATGCCGAGTCCTAGAGTGGTCATTACCAGACCTTAAACGTGGATTTTTGAGAAATAGTCCTGGATTTTAAAGGAATTTATGCAGACTCCTTATTGGTTCTTACAAGGTTGTAAGCCTTGCTTTTAATCATAGTTTTAACAAGGATTTTAACGTGGACATTTAAAGAAATGTTTGGAATAAACCAAAATGGGTCCTTACGAGGACAAAAACATATATTTTTAAAGAAATTTTCCAGGATCTTAGATGGGTCTATCCAATTCCAAAAGGTGCATTTTGAAGGTACTCTTAAAGGATACTTGATGGATCATTACAAGGCCACCATTATCAATTTATAAAAGACTTTTTAAGAATCCCTAATGGGGACCTTACAAGGTCATGGGTTTTTAAAGGAATTTTTGCGGAATCCTCGATGCGTTCTTACACATTCATAAACGTAGACTTTTAAAGGCATTTTTGCAGAGTCTAGATGGTCATGAATATGGGTTTTCAAAAGGTATTTTTGCAAAATTCTAGAAAAGTCCTCACGGGGCAAATTTATACATTCTTAGACATTTTTTAAGAGCCCTTGATGGGCCCTTACCCGACCATAAATATAGATTTTAAAATCCTTGATGGTTCTAACAAGGCTATGAATGTTATATGAATGGGGGTAATAATGTCAATTTTTAAAGACATATTTGAAGAGCCCTTTATGGGCCTTGTCGGGCATAAACGTAACTTTTAACAGAATATTTGCTGAATCCTTGATAGGTCCTTACAAGGTGATAAGCGTGGATTCTTAATTGAATTTTTATAGGCCGTTTAAGGACATTATTGGAAAAATCCGTGATGAGTCCTTACATGACTGTTGTTTAAGTTAGAATTGCATATTGTCAAAAAAGCGTTCGCTTAGTACGAACCGTAGAGAGATGTGTTTTTCGGCGAAAAGGATTGAAGATTTTTCCTACAACACTCCTTGGGCCTATGTTCCAACAGCTCTTACCGTAGGCAGCTTTTCCAAGTCATTTCTCTACAACTCTCTCTCTCTCTCTCTGGGTACTCCCTCAGCCGGTATTGCTGTTAGAGATTTTTCTGGAACCACCGGTGTTTCCAGCCACCTTGGTGCAATGCGAATTCATTTTTATATTGACACTCTTTTGCTAGGTACGGAGCTAACCGCATAAAGAGCTAATATGTCAACTCGGATTGACTAATATTTAATATAATGATCGGATATTAAATTTAATTATTTAAGCTAATTATTTTTATTTTTATTATTTCCATGCGTTCACGGTGGTATACTTGAGAGAACATAAATGTCTCATACGGAGAGAAACAGTGTTCGTGATCCTTTCAAGACCATTAAAGTGAAATTGTTAAGAATGCTTATAATATCTTGCCAATTTCGACAGATCTTCATAGGACGTTTATTGTTTAATTTTATACAAATTTTTGTAATTCGTAATTTCTTTTTCAGTCTATGCTAATTCAACGCCGTTTGATTTATTTCCTCTTTTGTTGTCATCCAGCCTTCCGTTTTTGTATTTTAATTCTTTGGGACTTTTCCTAAAATAATTTATTTAATTTAACATGTACAACTTGATACATGCAAATATATAAATTTAATTGCCTTCGCATTAAATGATTTATTGCTATCCGGTGTCTGGGTGTCTTGTATAAACGGTAGAGTGCAATAAACTTGCATTTGTTTATTGAATGCAGGCAGACCAGCCCTATTTGTTTAATTTGCAACGTCTGCATGTCATATCAAATTATTTAGGAATGATGATTTAGGAATGATAATTGAGAAATATTTTGCATTTTAATTGAATACATTCAGAGACATGAAAAATTGAAAAATATTTATTTTAAAATATTTATTTAAAAAAAAAAATAAATAACAATAATAATAATACAAATAAAAATAAAAATGTGACTATTATTGATACTGATACAATTTTCAGAAATATATTATATATTTAAACCTTTTAATATATTAAATGATTTGTATCTTCTGTCTGTCCCTCTCTTGTTAAAGAAATGAAAGCGCCAAAAATGATGTCAATTGAACATCATTATTATTACATTGCTTGGACATATAATCGAATATTAAATGTATACTCCCTCCATGAGGTATGTTCCGAAGGAATGGGCCAATATAGTCAATTTTGTGTCGGACTTAAAAAAAAGAACAGTAAAGAAAGTCTTAAAGTTGGGCGGGGCCGACTTTATGATACCCTACACCACTTTGCTAATTTAGTAGAGCTGCGCACAACAATTAAAAGTTTTTTCTGGGAGAATTCAATCATACACCCGATGATTATAATTATAATTTAAAGTTCAAAGGACTAAATATGCCGAAGCATTTGTATCTTTTAAATTCGGACTTGTAATGCCCATTTGGTGCACAATTAATTTGAAATCGGATAAACAAATATATAGGAGCTATATCCAAATCGGAACCCATCTCGATAAAATTTGGCAAAGATATTTCTCAGCTGTTTTTTATTTATTTCCCTGAATATCGTTGTTACGGAGCGCATATTACGGCTGTGGGTAACAAATATGACAAATCGGATGAACAGTACATATGAGAGCTATAGCTATATCTGAACCGATCTTCACCAAATTTGACATACTAACTTTACTAACTTCGTAAGTGCCAAATTTCATACAATTTGGGCAAATATTAGACGTTTGGTGCACAATCAAAGGTAAATCGGACGAAGTTATGTATGGGAGCTATATCCAAATCTGAACCGATCTCGATAAAATTTAGCAAATGTATTTCTGAGATGTATTTGATATATTTCCCCAAATATTGTTGTTACAGAGTGCATATTACGGCTGCGGAGGACAAAAAAAAAACAAGTCGGATGAACAATATATATGGGAGCTATAGCTATATCTGAACCGATTTTGATAAAATTTGGCATACTAATTTTCAGGTCCAATCTGATCATACGTGCAAAATTCCATACTATTCGGGCTGATATTACACGTTTGGTGCACAATAAAAGGCAAATCGGACGAAGATATATATGGGAGCTATATCTATTTTGACCGATTATCTCCAATTTCAATAGGGTTCGTCCTTGGGCCAAACAAATGATTTGTGCAAAATTTCATCTGGATAAGGCAATAAATGCGAACTGTACTTTGTTTACAAAAATACATGGACAGACAGACGGACGGACATGCATAAATCGACTCAGAATGTGATTCTATGCAGATCATCAAAAGGAACTATGGGTCTATCTCGTTTCCGTTTGCCTGTTACAAACAAATGCACAAAGACATAATACCCTGACCACCTTGTGGTGTAGGGTATAAACATAATATAAATATTCCGACGTGCCAGGTTTAGACTATATTGTTTACTTCCTTCACTTTATATGATTTATGATTTATCTAATACAGATGGGCAAAATACAGATTTATCTAATACACATGGGCAAAAATACAAGAAAATCACAATATTATGGGAAATCATAAATTCCATATTCAGCTCAGGTTTCTGGTAGAGAGAAATATTTAGATATAGCAAGTTGTAAATAATCGCCGACTTATTTCTTAAGTTATGGCAGATAAAAGTACATATTGAAATTTGTGATCCCTTGAAGAAGAGGAAGAGGTTCGCAGATATATATCATCAATAGATATTGTGTTAGCAAAAATGTTTGCATGTGTGAAATTTGAAGAGAGTTGGATGGTTAATTAGATTTCTTTGAACGTTTTGTTTTTTTTTTTTTTTTAAATTTGACCCTTTGTAGGGGAGATACCAGAAGAAATGGTCCGATCGCGTTTTTTGAGCTTCATTTATATACAAAAATTTGATCCTTTGTGGGGAGGTACCAGAAGGAGTAGACCGATATATCCCATCTTCACAGCAGATCTAGTGTTAGCAGAAGAATGAGTGTGAAATATGAAGAGAACCCGTATGCTTATTTCGGATTTTATAATCGTTTTGGTTATTCTAAACTTTGTTCCTTTGTGGGGGAGGTATCGGAAGAAACAGGCCGATCTCTACCATCTTTATAAAGGATCTTGTGTTGATGAAAATATTGAGATGTATCAAATCTGAATGGAATCGGATATTGAATTCGCGTTTTATGAGCTTCATGGATACACAAAACTTGATGGAGTGGACTGATATTGTAAAATATTTTCCACTATATTGTCCACTTTTTGTGGGGGAGGTACTAGAAGAAGTGGGCCGATCTCCGAGCTCGATCTAAGTTTGATGATATTACGTTGTACCAAGTTTGGACCAAATCGGATACTCCCTTCGAGAGTTATCGTGCGCATCTGCCAGCTAGACAGACAGATGGACGGGCGGACATCGCTAGATCGACCCCAAATGTCCTGAAACGGATTTGATCCAAAGACAACCAGGGTCTAAAACCGTTATTTCGATGAGGCACATTTTGGCGGTATCATATGATATATACCCTCAGTAGCCATATGACTAAGGGTATAAAAATAGTTATATAGAAATTGTGTAAGCTGGCCTTATCATCTTCAAAAATATATCGCATAAATCCCAATTAGCTTGGGAAAACGAACTATCTCCCAATCTAATTGTGATTTTTAGGATATCCATCCTTTTGGAATATTTAACATTATCTTTTAATACTTACACTTGCATTATCCTGTAAAACTTTACATTTGGCCTTTTCATCGGGATCGGAGATTTCATTAATACGTCTTTCAATTGTCTACAAAGAAGATATCAACCATTAATATAAAAATTGCAAACATTAAATCTAAAACTTACATTTGTTTGTTCAATCATCAATTGCAGATAGGCATCAGCTTCGGAGACCCGTCGTCCGAATATTTCCAAATAGTTTGCCCGTTTATTTGTCAAGTCTTTGTTATAGCCACCGAGATAAAATGCACTTTGATTGTCCCACATGCGATTGCGATTCGCATGACGTTGTATTGTATCCTCTAGACGTCGTACCCATTTTTCGCGTTCCTCAGTATGTTGGGCCTGCAGAAGAGAGAGGGAGATAAAAGAGAGAGTTTAAATAAAAGTGTAATACTTTCTATTCTTTGCTCTGGATCTGGAGCGATTTTCACTGGGTGCAAAATCTTTCAGCGTAAAAGAAACAATACTTTTGGTTATTTTTATAATAACTTGCGCATCGTTTCAAATTATTGCCACTGGCTGCGGGGAGGATTTATCTGTTATTCGGGCTGCTCCTTTTGACGAAGTTGGCGATTTCAAAGTCGTCGTTTTTCTTGGCCGACTTTGTCATGACCTTTGTGGACTCAGCAGAGCCGGATTGGAGGCGTTTGATGTAGACTTTGGCTTGGTCTTCTTCGTAGCCATAAATTTCTTCGAATTGGAGGGTGGTATCTCCGATTTTGAAGGCGTAGGTCCCTTCTAGGTAGACTACTTAGGTTCTATATCCTTCAAAGCTAACTTTCCAGATAAATAGGAGAGTCCCGCTCATTTAGGGTGTTCGCTTCTACCCTGTAGTGCCCTGTTTATTAGTAGTTCCTTTTAACTTCTTTTTACTTTTACTTCAGGATCGTTTTGATGAGCTGTAACTCATTTTCGTTGAATTTGAACGGATCTCCAACAAAATAAAGACGGCACTAATTAACAGCTCATCGATACATGGATTTCGCTTCTTGCTTAAAGAGCAAGACCTTATCGGTTGTTGTAGTGTTCGTATACTGCTGTGTTCGTTCTGACTCCTATACATTGGGTTCTCCTTCTAAATGCAGTATCAAAAAGAATGCAACCTGTACGGGTTGGGTCCACAACGATACTGAGGTTAGGTGAATAGGTTTGGCTGCAGCGTGTCATTTGGACCTGTGCCACAAGCTGGGCAGATGTTCTGCCCATCGCTGTCATTCCTGGCCCAATAGGAATTGAGGCGGTGGCCCTATTTGGATCTTAACTGAGCCAAAAATTCCCGAATTTTTTACGACTGTTCTCGCTCTTCAACTGTTATGTGAGACCGCGATAGAGTGAATACTATTCAGTTCCGCTTGATGGGCTTGTTGATCTAGATGCTGTATCTTATACCTCTGTACCTCTCTCTAGAGCATGTCTTTCATTACGTGCCTGGGCGGAGGTTGCCTATCGTGGCTATCGTTAGAACACTCCAGAATTTAAATGTGAATAAATCTTTTGTGTTTCGTACCATAGCTCGTTATCGTGATACTGGTATCGTAGCCCGACATATGTCAAGGAAGTGGACGGAAGAAAACAGCAACATCAGCAGAAATGGTACGAAAAGTAAAGAAGCGACTTGATCGAAACCCGCGTCGCAGTGGCCGAAAGATGGCTCGAGAGCTGAACATACCATTCGGCAAATATTGAAAAATGAGCTCGGGCTAAAGCCATTGAAATTCCAAAAAGTGCAAGAACTTACAGTGCAACAGAACTGCTGAACCACAATATATCTATTTGACTTCGTACTATCTGAAGAGTTTATAAAATGTAAAATCCTTACATTTGGCAAGACCACCACCGTTCAGCTAAGTTGTTTCAGGACTATACCATAAGAGAATGACAACTCGAATCTAATTGTAGGGTTCACTGTGAAGCTTGATTACAGGACATTAGGCTCATAATCATGGGCTTTTTCACAAGTACTATAAACTTTGGTATTCAAAATGGAGAAGGGTAAAATAACACCTCCCAGACAACGTTACGATTCCAAATAACATATTTCAAAAAAAAATGATCGCACCTAAATCCCCTTTCATAAGTTAAAGCTTCAGTGTCCTTTTTCTTATTAAAATATTTTTTTAATAATTATGCTTAATATTGACTATTCCAAATCACTTACCTGAAAATGAAAGGTTTTGTGATCCACAGTAATGGTAAATGTGTTATCCTCCTGGTCGTCAATGCCAATGACGGCATCTTTCAGGCGTACACATCCACGGCGTACACCCTTCATCATTTTTTCTTTTGACTAAAACGACAAACAAAAACAGGGAAAAGTAAAGCAGATTAATTATAATATTAAACAAGTAAAATAGTTATATGTTCGGTCGGGCAGAACTTTGAACACCCTTTACCATATGGAACGAACTTGGCAAATTAAAAAAATTAAAAAATAAATAAATAATAAATAAATAAAAACGTTAAAAACTCTGCTAAAATTTAAAAATACCAAATGTAGCCGTCATATCAGCGGCTAAACGACGTCGTCATCACAATATTCAAATGCAAAACATGAAAAAAATCGGAAAATAATGTAGCTATCATCTTCAATATAGGGAGGTACTATTATACGGGGGCTATAACAAAATGTGAACCTGTACAGACAAGTATCTGCCTTAGGCTGCAGTATGCATTATGAACTTCAAATTTGAAATAATTCCGGTGAATAATATCAGGAGGTAACGTTATATAAGGGTTATACGAAAACGTGCACCTGCACAGAAAATTTTCTGTCTTACAAACTTCAAATGCCAAATTTGAAACAATTCCGGTAAATAATGTCGCTAAAATAATCAAAATCCCAAATATCGGAAGCTACCGTTATATTTTGACTATACGAAGACGTGGACCTGCAGAGACAATTTTGCGTCATAGGCTGTAGTATTAATTACGAACTTCAAATACCAAATTTGAAACAATTCCGTTTAATAATATCTCTAAAATCAACAAAATACCGAATATCGGGAGCTACCGTTATATGGGGGACCTGCCCAGACAATTTTCTGCCTTAGACTGAAGTATTCATTACGAACTCATTACGAACGGTGAATAATGTCGCTAAAATCAACAAAGTACCGAATATCGGGAACTACCGTTATATGGGAGCTATACGGAGACACGGACCTGCACGGACAATTTTCCGTCATAGGCTGTAGTATACATTGAGAACTTCAAATACCAAATTTCGAAACAATTCCGGTGAATAATATCACTAAAATCAACAAAGTACCGAATATCGGGAGGTACCGTTATATGGGGGCTATATGAAGACATGGACCTGCACGGACAATTTTCCGTCATAGGCTGTAGTATCCATTGAGAACTTCAAATACCAAATTTCGAAACAATTCCGGTGAATAATGTCGCTAAAATCATCAAAGTACCGAATATCGGGAACTACCATTATATGGGGGCTATACGGAGACACGGACCTGCACAGACAATTTTCCGTCATAGGCTGTAGTATCCATTGAGAACTTCAAATACCAAATTTCGAAACAATTCCGGTGAATGATATCACTAAAATCAACAAAGTACCGAATATCGGGAGGTACCGTTATATGGGGGCTATATGAAGACATGGACCTGCAGAGACAATTTTCTATCTTAGGCTGTAATATCCATTTAGAACTTCAAAACCCAATTTTGAAATAATTCCAGTGTATAATGTCGCTAAAATCAACAAAGTACCGAATATCGGGAACTACCGTTATATGGGGGCTATACGGAGACACGGACCTGCACAGACAATTTTCCGTCATAGGCTGTAGTATCCATTTCGAACTTCAAAAACCAATTTTGAAACAATTCCGGTGAATAATGTCGCTAAAATCATCAAAGTACCGAATATCGGGAGGTACCGTTATATGGGGGCTATACGAATACATGGACCTGCAGAGACAATTTTCTGTCATAAGCTGTGGTATTCATTACGAACTTAAATACCAAATTTGTAACAATTCCGGTGAATAATGTCGCTAAAATAAACAAAGTACCTAATATCGGGAGGTACCATATTATGGGGGCTGTATGATGACGTGGACCTGCACAGACAATTTTCTGTCATAGGCTGAAGTATCCGTCACGAACTTCAAATACCAAATTTGTAACAATTCCGGTAAATAATGTTGCTAAAATCATCAAAGTACCGAATATCGGGAGGTACCGTTATATGGGGGCTATACGAATACATGGACCCGCACAGACATTTTTCTGTCTTAGGCTGTAGCATCCATTTCGAACTTCAAAAACCAATTTTGAAACAATTCCGGTGAATAATGTCGCTAAAATCAACAAAGTACCGAATATCGGGAGCTTCCGTTATATAGGGGCTATACCAAAACGTGGGCCTACATGGCCCATTTTTAATACCAAAAGTCCTGCAGACATAACATACATTTGAGTAAAATGTTATTAATCTACTTAATTTCGTTCAGAAGCTAGAGTGATTTCCACAAACGGACAGACATACGGACATGGCTAAATCGGCATAGAATTTGTAGGGTCTTGTAGGGTCTAAAATGTATATTTCGAGGTATTACAGACGGAATGACAAACTTAATATACCCTCCATACTATCGTGAGGGGTATAAAAATATGGGGTCTAGAGAGCACACAATACATATATGTATAGATAAGAGGATTACGTATATAAAAACAATAAACAAACTAATAAGAGGTTCAACTACATAATTGTCACCATATATTTGTTGTTTAAATTGTCCATTAAACAATGTAATTAAATGTGCATATTTATTTTTTTTTTCTTTAAATTGTAAATTGTTTGGTGAATACAATAGTGCCGAGTTGGGATATATAGCAAAATCAATATGCGTAAGGTTGGACCTTTGGGTTCTTAACGAGCACACACACGCACCGGTCGTTTGGTAGTACAAAAATAGAGTATTGCAGGAATTGGTATTTTAATTATATCTGATTTTTTATTGGATCAGAGCTTTTCAGTTTTAATTGATCGTGCCATGGGGCCAAACATACGGTAGAACGACACAAAAAAATTTATAAAAACAGATTGCATTTAACATTGATGATATTATGAGAGAAAGTTTTGAAAAGGACGGTTAAGTAAAAATAAGTCGTTGAAAGTGAAATAAAATACATAAAATAAAAATAAGGTTGCAAAAATATGGAATCTCTTTTCGTTGAGTTAAATGGTGAATAAACAAAAGAGATGAGAAAATGTTCTTTTTTTTCTAAATCATAAAAAATGTTTAAAAATATTTCGCAATTTTAGTTATCGATTCGGAAGCACGTTTTGGCTTATCGTCCCCAGAGTTTCTAATATGTGTCATTGTCATCTACCTCCTATTTGTTTTCAAAATTGGACCAGAGTAAGTAAACCGAAAAAAAACCAAACGAAATATTTAAAGATTGCTCAAAGTTAGTAGTTAAGTACTATCAGATTAGAGAAAAAATTTTAAACTCCGCGGAGGCCCGTGAAAGGATATCATATATTTCATTAGTAATTACCGTGAAGTACAACCCAATATTTTTGTGGCAATTATATATAAAAATCTCAAAAACTCTTAGGACTATGGATTGCAAATTGATATAAAAATAACATATTTTCTAGAAGAAGCAAATGGCCTTCGATTAAATAGTATATTTATAAAATGAGCTAAATAGAAGACCTTTCGAAGGTCTTTCGTTATAGAAGCTTTTCGAATTACACTATAATTAGAGGATATCTGTTCTAAATTCGGCCGTGCCGAATTTTTTATACCATCCATCAATTGGAAGAAACAATTCCATTTAAACATTTGGTCGAAATCATCAAAATACTTAATGTCCGGTGGTGTCGTTATATCGGTTACCATTATATGTGGGCTATACAATATGTTGGACTTTATATGAGGTCTATATAATATGGTGGACCTATATAGATAACTCTCTTCCAGGGGGTAAAGTACCCACCAAGAACTCCTTGTGTAGAATTTCAGATAATTCCCTTTAAAAATGTGGCAAAACCATAAAAATATTGAATATCGGGAGGTGCCGTTATATGGGGGATATACGATATCGTGGACCGATCTAGAAAATTCTCTTTCAGGGGATAAAGTACTCACAAAGAACTCTTTGTGTAAAAATTCAGACAATTCCATTGGAAAATGTGGCTAAAATCATCAAAATACCGAATATCGGGGGGTACCGTTATATGACGGCCATACAATATGGTTGACCTATATAGATAACTCTCTTCCAGGGGGGTAAAGTACCCACCAAGAACACCTTGTGCAGAATTTCAGACAATTCTCTTGAAAAATGTGGCTAAAACCATAAAAATATTGAATATCGGGTGGTGCCGTTATATGAGGGCTATACAATATAGATAACTCTCTTCCAGGGGGTAAAGTACCCACCAAGAACTCCTTGTGTAGAATTGCAGACAATTCCCTTGAAAAATGTGTCTAAAATCATCAAAATATTGA